CGACCAGAAGCCACAATGCCGCTGCGTCTTGTCGCAATGCTTTCCAGTTCATAGTTTTCGAGGCAGAAACATTAAATTAAGCACGAGTCTGGTTTCACTGCTTGGGACAGTCCTCATAACTCTTCTCTCATTATTTATAGGAACCCTGTGTGGATGCTCAAAACTTGTAGATTATCTGGAGGTATAGGAGCAAGACTCACGAGCCGAGCTGCGCACCGCAGAATGCATAAATCTGGGACGGTAGTAATTTACCCTAAACTGGCTGTTAAGAATAACGCTCATATACACGTAAAAGAGCGTCCCGTTTTCTGCCAGTGAGCCCTTCCTGCGCGTTTTACGGCTGCGCGTAACAAGGAACCACCCTGCCAGAAGCTTCCTGGGAAGCTTTTCAGAGTTTCATAAATAGGTCTCCTAGGTGCCATAGAAGCGATTTCCACCATCATCGGAAAAACTTGCACCTCCACGTTACGTGCTCATTAAACTGCCCGTTAACGTGCAAGTTTGGCTAGTTTACTACCGTCCCTGGTCTTTATTTTCAGAAGACGAGTACAAAAGTTCCAGAAATTTAATTTGTGGATGGGTTGTGACAACTGTTAAGTTTCACAGTCAGATTTTTTTTTTCTCAAAATATATTATTCGTTTCTCAGGGTGATCTTATAATTATGAAACACTGTATATTTTACGTAGATCGACTAATCCGTTGCTGGCTTGCTTTCTCAAAGTTAGTGTAAAGAAAAGAGTAGCCTTGAGCTTCAGTTCCTTTTGTTTATTTCATGATTTTTATCGAAACCTATCAATAAACATAACTTTCAATAAGCAGTAAATTACAGATAACAGTTATTTCGAGGCAGATTGGGGCACAAACTTGCTGATTCAAAGTTGAAACAAGCTTCCGCTCCGAGATCAAACAGATTTTTCGAACTTCATTGGCGTTACCAAGTCTCTTCGTCGTTGCTTGTGTCAGCATCCGTGTATTCAGTGTTAATTCTCTCTCTCCTTCTTCTGCTAACAATCAGTTCTCGTTCTTCCTTGGCGAATATCGTTTCCAGGTTCAGAACTCCTGGAAGGTTTTCTTCTTATAATTCTTCTCTTTTTCGATATTTTGGTATCATGCTCAAGGAGTTCCTGGTAGGCAATGGTAAAGGTTACCACTGAGAGTTCTTTAGTGGCGAACCTTACCAAGAGTTCACAATATTCATTAGACTTACCCATGTCAAATGTTTTCTTTGGAGTTTTTCCATCAGTGATGTAGGATTTCGGCAGGGCAAATTTCACTTTTCTTGAACCAGGCTGTAAAATTTCCCAATTGATAATCTCCCTGCTTTAGTGTTTTCCCCAGCCATACAAAGTAGCAAACCTTACCTTAATTCCGTCATCGCAGTCATGGTACACCTTAAAAATCGGGTCAATAGGTGTGAGTTCGGCGGTGCCACCTTGGAGTTCAAATTCACCATCATCGCCCGTGTAGCCTTCGTCGAGGAGATCATCCGGATCCGGACCTTAAGGATCGTGCATTAACACATTGACGATAGCACGCATTGGTCGTGGCTCAGTATCTTTTGGTTTAGTTTCTTCAGAATCGTCATTATTCCATCAATAATTCCAGTGACAATGATTGGTGCACCGTTTTTTGGATAAGATAGTATGTCCAGACGTTTTTGAAATAAGAAATATGTCAAATAAATCGAAGAGAACGAGCTAGCGTGTGAAAATCGGACGCGTATGCGCGTCATGCTGTCCCCACTATGTTGAAGGGAGGTAAGGATAAAGGATAAAGCATTTGCCGTTGATCAATCCCTTTTGGGATGCGGCACGCATTCTACTTCCATTTGTACATTCGTAGTGGCTATGCAATGACTTGCGGGGGCCAGCCGATGTACAAGTCCGTCTTAAAATATTCAGCCGTTGGAAAAGGAACAAGATTTGATAAGTGGCGCAGTGTTGAGTGTAAATACTAAGGGAAACAGCTTGAGCCCTTTGATTTCTGAGCTTGACGAGTCCACGATAGATTACTCCAACGATGTGGATACCATACACTGATTTTCTAAACACGCCCGCCGCAGATCAAAACTACTCTTTGCTAAGGAATCGGACCGAGTCCGCTACCTGGAGGCGGGGCTCCCTTCAAGGCGGGTGTCATATATAAACCGTTGCGGTTGCACGCTTTACAGGAAATGTCACATTTCGGTCAATAATGTGTTTAGCCTCTTTTTGTAATAGCTCCCTCTTCTCCAAAGCCCATTTCTTTGAATCACCCGGCTACTAGTGAAAATGGGAACTTTTTGCTAAACATTTGTTGGCATTTTTCGAGACCTCACTTCTCAGCATCCATATAAAGTTACCACTCGCTGTATATATTAGTTGTGCTAGCCCATATGTATTCGGCGTGTTTGGTACATGCCGCGCATACTACTTCCTTTCAGAACTGCAACAGCAATTGAATATCGCTTAATCAGCTCTTAGTGGTTGGCCAATCGTGCTTCTTTCCAGTCAAGTCAGTTCGAATATTTGACACCGAACGTGTGGAACTGTGGAGGCTGATTTGCCTAGGCGGGATCCGATCCGAGATGACCATTCGCAGACCATCTGCCTAATAGTGGCGCTACACCACCTCCGCCCTCCCTAACCCCTTCCAATAGTGGAAAGTACTAATTTACTTCCTTGAGGAAATTTTTTCATTTTCGACATTGGCATTATGTTGTGCCTTGAAAAGCATGGTGGTAACACAACGTGATGACGCTCAGAAGGTACGATGGGCAAACGGTGCCATGTGTCGGAAAAAGTTGATTGGCACTACCTTCCTCTCCCCCCCCCCCTTGAGCCTCACCATGCATGTTCTTTTCAAGTTCTACGAACGTTCCAAGTTCTACGTCTAGCCTGTGAGGTTGCGCCGGTAGATGGGACCCTCGAGGCAACGAATGTATAGAAAGCCTCCAAAAAACCTGCAAACTAGCGCAAAAGTCAAACATCTAGCTTTCACGTGCTGCTAAATGGTCCCATCCAATCAGGAGTAGAAAAATTTCGACTGCTTCAGTAACCTTTCTGTAATCGCTCCCAAGTTAAAGTGAATCGGGATTCGCCCAGGAAAGTATAGATTTCCTTACAATGCACTGTGACAACATATAGCTTATTGTTGAATTGCCTCTGAAGAAGTTTAGATATGGAAGGAAACTCAGTACCGAAAAGAAACTCAGTACCGCCGTCCTCTTCCCAGAGCTTCACTCGTACGTTCGATGCCGGCTTCGATCCACACATTAACTTTCCTCGAACAGCTATAGATTGATCGCGAATTGCCATTGTCATGCCAATGGCAGCAAGAAGAAGAAGGCTTTTCATCTGAAAGGAAATGATAACAATTTTGTTCTACATATGAAACAAGTCAAAGTTTTCACGAACTTATCGAAATTGCTAAAAAGGATTCCACAAAAAGGGTCACGCCTTCAAAAAAGTAGCCGCTATATCTCATACAAAAATTGATCATTCTTAGATTCAAGGCTTTAGAAAAGCATTGCCGAGATAGCTTGCTAGGAATCGCTCTTCTTCAGACAGTTGCATAAATGTCAAGTAGCAGGACTCTGTTCTCTATCCTCTACAACCAGTCATATCGAGCCGAATTCCATTTGAGAAACATCAGAAGGTGTTAAAGGAGGAATTCACGATAAGAACGAAGGTCAAAGAAGGGAAAATTGCATAGTTGGGAGAGGCGGACCTCCTGAGGGTGCTGACCGACGCGCAATTGGCAGCGAAAGATTTGACCTCGGCGATCTAGCATGGCTCACTCTTGGCGCGGTTGGCGGGGTACGCCCACCGACTATCTAATCACTCGCCGCAGGTCTATACGTGGCGAGTGATTAGATAGCAGAGAGCGTAGTGTTGAAGAGGGCACAGCGATGAGAGTCGCATCAATGCGCAAATCAACGGGCAAGGAAGGGGTCCCATTTCTCGGGTTTCGGGCCGTTTCAAATGGTTTCTTCTTCATCCCTGCTCCACTGACCACCTCTACCCTTATTTCCAATGAGCTAACTTTTCATCGTAAATTCTGCCTTTAACACGATGACGATGATCGCATTTTTGTTTTGTGCACCCGTAGGGCGAGGCGTTTTTGCATGCCAACTGCCAAGAACAACAGGGCAAAATTTATTCGGAAAAGATTTGAATCTTGACACTATACAGAACGTTTACACTAGAGTGCTCCAGACACATTTAGAAACAAGGAAAAGTTGTTACTACTGAATGCTGGGTGAAATTTCAGTGACATCGCCTGGCATTTTCAAACCTCAGGTTAGAATAGGTTCTGAAGGCGCAATTTCACGCATTCTTCATTTTTATTATTAATATGAGCTTTCCTTTAGATGGTACTGGTATCCTGATCACATCTGAAATCTTCTACGAATTTTCACTCAAGAATGACGCAAAAAACTTTGCGTACCTGACGGAATGAGCTTTTGTTTGACTGTTATCTTGTTCTTCATGATCGAATAAGAGATTCAAACGAATCATTTCAAGACCAATGCCTGTAAAAAAATTCGGCCGCTGATGGACTGGATAGGTACTTTTGTATTGTCTATGAGTGATACTGTGCCCACTTGACCACCAGAGGAACCTAAAGGATAAAGGATAAAGCATTTGCCGTTGATCAATCCCTTTTTGGGATGCGGCACGCATTCTACTTCCATTTGTACATTCGCAGTGGCGTTTGAATGCGATGTGGCCTATACAATGACTTGCGGGGCCAGCCGATGTCGTATACTTTATCCTCTAAACAAATCTGGTACCAATTAACC